AGTCCTGCTACCTGTAACCATGGAGGAATAAAATATTTTATTCCTCCATGCTGTAACCTAGGTCTAGTCTACCCTGGCGATACAGCACTACAGCAGTATGGTGAGAGAGTCTAGGATAACCTACCCTAGCTAGCCTAGTATTACCTAATTATTAGGCTAGCCGTAGCATGTGGCCTAGGACTCTAAGGCTCTATCTAGGCCTAGGCTAGTGAATACAGATCATTTCGGTCACGCTTCATTTCGGTCGCGGTTTGTTTTCAACAAATATATGGAGCGCCAATGGAGTTTCGAAATGCTAAATTTAATATAACTAGGCCTAATTATCATTGCAAGTTCGTCAATTGGTTTATCATACTTTTTTTATTTATGTTTTGTTGTATTTCTAATAAGTAACAACAGGGTACTTAAAAGCAAATAAAATTAATACTATTATTACTAAACTATCAATTTTTTTATTTTCGTTTTGTTATGAATCCTACGCTTTCTACTGCATAACAAATACAGCAAATAAAATAAATACTAAAATATGATATGATGTTATATATTATTATTATTATTATTTATTTATTTACATTGTATCTGGAAAAAACAGCCAATTTGTCATTTAAATTACTGTAACATTAGTTTATTAACAATTATTTTTATTAGTATTAAAGATTGTTATTGTTTTTATTTTCGTTTTATGAATCCTACGCTTTCTACTACATAAAAAATACAGAAAATAAAATAAATACTAAAATACTGTATATGATGTTATATATTATTATTATTATTATTATTATTATTATATTATTTTTTTTAATTTACATTGTATCTGGAAAAACCAGCCAATTTGTCATTTAAATTACTGTAACATTAGTTTATTAACAATTATTTTTAATAGTATTAAAGTTCGTTATTGTTACTATATCACTGTATAACTTGGTGCTATTTTTCTTTTTTTCACAGAAACAACGCAGATGTTACGAAGTTGACCGAGTTTGAGATACGTTTTTTTTGTTCTTGCTACAGTATATATATTGATATAATTTTTATTAATGCTGGAATCAAATAAAAATCTATGGAATAAGTATAGTCAATAGATTAGTTTCGCATACGTTTTTTTTTTCTTGTCTGTTGCGTTTCCATTTAACACAAATGTTCTGATCATGTTATAATAATATTGTAAAGGAAATATGTATTTCCATGTTTTTTTTCCATATAAAATTATCAATACATTGATAATTGCATGCGGTACATTTTAAAAGCCTTTTCATGCTTCTGTTATATTCATAAGCCCGAAAAAATCACTCAACTTGCTAGGCCTATTTCTTTAGTTGCATAAGTGGAGTTTAATTGTGGAAAGAAAAGTTTCCACATATTTATTGCCATGGTACTCTTAAGGCGAAGATGACACAAGGTTTGTGATTTCTTGTTTGTTTTATTTCCATTTTTGTTACATTATTGCAAAGACAGAATTAGGTCAGATGCTAAAATAGACGACTAGCTATTTCTAGGTACAAACACGTGCGCTGAAGCGCAGTTCACCACTTCACATGTGTTCACCTACTTCATGAAACCAGTAACTTTGAATAGTCTGCGCTGGCTGCTGATCATGTTTATAAAATAAAAAAATAAATGGATAATAAAATATATATTTGTTATATGATTTCATGTGTAATGTTAATAAATACGTATAAATTTTATATATATATATATATATATATATATCTCACTCGCCACTGAGGAAGGACTAGTGTTGTCCGAAAGCTCTGGTTCTATTTCTGGCTGTTTATTTACGTTTACTTTTTAGCTGTTGCTTATCATTTTTGTACCTCTACTGAGATCCAGCCTTTGTTTCCCACAGCATTGTTGTTTTTCAGTATTTTG